TTGGTAATCTTCCTTCTCCATGATTCCTTCCCCAGTCCTACTGCTGAACCTCTGCTGAGATTTTTTTTGACCTGCGTGGGTGACAAGTCAGACCCAATTTTCCGCTGAATCATTTCAGCTCCTATGTTCACAGGCTGATTCCTTACATTTGTTTCTTTGGAAGTATAACAAAGGTGTTGTGCTTTGTGTTTTGACCATGTACATATGCTTTTGCTAACTGGTGGGAACACTTTAATAGTGATGGAGTTGCTACCTCAGAAAAACGATTTATGTCAGGATGGATCAGAACACAGTAATTTAGCCTTTCCTCTGATTAGACAAAGGTCTACACTAAATATTTTCCAGGCCACGTTGATATATATAGCCAGAGGGTCGCATATTTATTTCTACTCTGCTCAGTTTATATATTGCTATATGTGCTCTATAGTCTGTTTTCAAATAAATGTTTGTTACTGCTACCCTCCAGGTTTCCATTTTCCAGTTTATTTTTGTTTTCATCATTCCTTTATATTTTGTCCTTAGCTTTAACTGTAGTTGAGTCCAATCTTCTGTAATATTGGGTTGTTGGAAAAGTCATGATGCATTTTTGCAACGAAAAACATAGAAAAAATACGTCATGACTTTCCCGACAATCCAATATATATCAAAACACAGAAAGATGGGAGAAATACTGACCGTCAAAGAATATTGAATTTTTAGGATTGATTAAACTCTTTGCCAGGCTACAAATGCCTTATAGGTTACAGTTCTAAGACATTACATTTCAACCCCATTGCAACCCTTATATCTGATTACCAAAAAGATCATTTGTCCCTGGCCATTAGTTAAGATTATTCAGCCAGTATTTGATATAGCTGTATGGAACAGAATAATATCATTTGTTCTTTTAGTGTTTTGAATGAGAAACTTCTTTTGTGGTTTAAAATACTGGCTGCTGTATATCCAGAGACTAAGATAAATATGAATAAGAAGTGTTTTACTTTGGGGGGAAGCAAAGATTTGTCTGTATCCTTTTAATATTGGGTATCTGTGTTAAAAAAAAAGATGCATTTTTTTTTCTTTAGCTTTTGACTTGAATATTTGGCTAAATAGATTTTTGTCTGACCTTTCCCAAGGTATCTCCTTTTTTCTCCCTTTCTTATCAAAACCATTTTATAAAAGAAATTAAACCAAACAGTTGAATCAGCTACTCAGGTGAGGTGAGAATAGTTTGGGTATAAATTACAGATTGTTGTCTTACGACACTTTCCCCATTTTTCTTAAAACTGTAGTTTTTCCTTTTTAGAAGCCAGAGTAGAGGGCCCCTATTAAATCATAGAATTGTAGAGACTTGAAAGGAAATCTAAGTTCATCTCCATGTTTCTGCACATGAGTATACTGAAGTCATTCCAGCTAGAGGAATATTTTTAATTTTTAGAATTCAAAAAGAGAAGTCAATACACTGCCCTAGAAACTCACTGAATGTTTGTCAGTATTTGTTATTAGGGCATTTTTCTGTAATAAGTAAATTTACCTGTGTAATAAATATTATATTTTCCAGAATCTTATCATTAAGGTTACACCAAAATACTTTTACAATTTTACCCATTTAAAGAAAATATTTATTTCTAACATGTTATTTTTCCTGCTTGAATTAGACTATGGTCCAATTTTATCTTTTTAGGATATTCTGGGGCTAATGAGCCATTATCCTAAAACTTTCTTCTCATTGGACGGTAGTGTAGATGCAGACTATGAAGAAGATTACATCAACATCTGTTAACCTTGGGAATTCTCTCAGAAATTGCTTCATAAGCCCTTAAATTATCCATTTCTTGAGTATTTTCCTCTTTATTACAAAAATAAATAATGAGGGGTGTTGGTTAGCAAAGGATTTATGTTTTATTTAACTGGGGCTGTATTATAATTGATAGTTATTCTTCATGCTGTAATTAAAGCACAATTCTTCTTCATCTTTTTTTGTCCTCAAAAGAGATGAGCATAGCTGGTCATCATCTTCTGTATGGAAGTCCTTCATAACGTTAGTATTCAGGTGGTAGAATGCAATACAGAAATGGTCCCTGTGTGCACTATTTAGTTGTGTTGTAGCCACAAACTAACTCCAAATCCTAGCTATATATCACACAAATGCTGGGTTACAAAAGAGATCAAGCAGGAGAATATGTGCAGACTGGCACCGAGTGTATTATTTCTAAAAGATAGCTCATTTCTTTATTTGTAAAATGAAGATAAAAATGATAGCACTTCAGAGGGTTAGTGTGTAGAATAGATGGAATAGTGTATGTGACGGTCATTCCCTCCGATGTACTTCTCTGAACCTTCTTGCAGTTAATCTGCTTCTCACTGATTTTAGAGCTCCTAAACTGTACAGTAAACAGTAAATCTGATGTGAAGTACACATTACTTTTCCTTTCTACCCATAGTTCTCAACACGGGATACCTTTTTGACATTATCTGTGGAGCTCTGAAAAGAAACAGGTATCCAAGTCCCAACCATGAAACATGTCCCACTCATGAAGCTTTTGGTTTCATAGCTTAAGGTGGATCCTGGGAGTCAGTATGTTTTTGAAATTCTACCACTGATTTTAACTATGACATATTTAAATTAAAATAAATACGATATGACGTATAACCAGCGTTGAGATATTGGTTCATACTATACTTATCATATTAGTAATAATAGTTAGATTTATTGAATGATTTTGTGCCATTAATTTACTCAACAAAAATTAAGTGCCCACTATGCAGTAGTGAGCTAGGTAAGTACTATCCATGGTTTCATAGAATTTACGTTCTGTTGGGGAGTAGGTAAGGAAACAAGTTTCTAAAAGATGTATGTTAAGTGCTTTACATGTGTATCTCATTGAATCCTACCAACAATCCTGTAAAGTAGATGGGTATTATTTTCTCCATTTTACAAATGAGGAAACTGAGATTTGGAAAGGCTAAGAAAACTTGTCAAATCACACAGCTAGGAAGTGTTGGAACCTGGTTTGAATCCAGGTTTTTGGACTCTAAAACCAATGCTAAATATTCTGTTGTATTCCTTTTCTCATAACTTTTAGTTACCACATTGCCTAGCTGTTTGATGCTTAGTACATTTATTGGGCTTCTGTTATTTATTTCATACTACTTTAAGTCTGGTTTTTCATTTTTTTCTGGTTATATTTATAATTTACTAGTTGTGGTATAATAGTCTGCCCTTATCCATGGGGGATAAATTCCAAGACGCCCAGTGGATGCCTGAGACCACTGGTAGTACCAAACCCTGTATTTACTATGTTTTTTCCTATACATACACTTATGGCTGCTCTTTGGCATACCTGAATTGCCAGCATCACTACTCTTGTCCTTTGGCGTCATTGTTAAGTAAAAGAAGGGCTACTTGAACACGAGCACTGTGATGATAGCACAACAGTCGATCTGATAACCAAGACGGCTACTAAGTGACTAATGGGTGGGGACAGGGTGTATATGCAGCATGGACGCTGGACAGAGGGACAATTCGTGTCCCGAGTGGGAAGAAGACCGTGAGAGCTCATCACACTACTCACAGTGGTGCGCAAAATCTTATGTGCACCATTAAAACTTACGACTTGTTTATTTCTGGAATTTTCCATTTAATATTTTCAGACCATGATTGACTGTGAGTAACTGAAACCGTGGAAAGCAAAACTGGGGGTAAAGGGGGACTACTGTATGTCGGAAAGGACAGTAGCTCTGATTTTAAAATTCTTTTGTGACTCAGACCTTAAGTTAAATTATTTAACATCTCTGCAATTCAGTTTCTTCATTTATTGAAATGAAAATAGTATTTGTCATCTTGTATTTTGTTTTGAGAATGTAGTNTTTCTGCTTGCATTTTAGTTTAATGTTGTAAGTAACAGTTCTTGAAATTCATTTTTTGTGATTATGGGAGATTAATACTGAACAGTGTTTTAGTTCCTATGTCCAAAGGCTATTGAGCATTGTTATTTCTCAATACAACTATCTTATCACTCCATACACTCTAGCAATGCCAGAAAGAAATGGACTTTTTACTTGGTAATTTTTCTTTCAGGATTCATTCCCGTTTTGAGAAATTTGATACTGAAAAGTAGTAAGTTGAAAAGTCATAGTTTGAGGCCTCCATTAATAAAATATTACCTTTGTGAGTTCTTGTTTTATACCAAATAAGAAACGAGTGGTTGAATTCTCATATGTATCCTTTTTATTAGAGATAGTATGTGATTGATACGTGTTTTTTAATTAGGCAGTAGTTTGACTACCCCAGTTTGATCAAATCCATTGAATAGTTTAAGATTCTGAAACACTTCCATTACAATTTTATTTTTTAAAAAGTGTAATTTTTATAACAGACAAATTCTATATGAGTATGAAACAGGAATGGTTGATGGACAGGTATGAAAGAAAGAGATATCGATTTTTAAATGTATCCACTCAGGCAAGGAAGAGTTCTTGAGTGATATAAACTTGAAGAACAGAAGTGATTTTAGCAGAGGCTATCTAATGGTTTGAAATAATTTTCAAAGGTAGCAAAAGGTGAAAATACACACTATACAGAGATAAAAGAGCTATCTAGAATGATACTTTTGAACTAAATTTCAGAAAAGAAAGAATTAAGGCCAATAGGAAGACAGTGGTAGTCCAGACATGAATCACGGTGGACATAGTGTTCAGATGACAATAGCATGTGTGATGGCTCTGTTGTCAGTAGTTGGGATAAACAATCCTGCCTGGAGGCCAAGCCTGCAGGACCTTTTTGGTGGTACTGGTCTAGTACTTCTCATCTGCTTCTGGTTTATTTTTTAACCAAGCTGTTGCCTGGTTCACATTTGGCTGGCTCCACTTAGAATTCAGAACCCTTGGATTCCATCATATCTTGTGTTTTCCAGGTCCTTGTGTAATTTCATACAATTTGATTTTGATTACTGTGACTAAACATATGTAGGCAAGAATTCGGTTGACCTAGAAAGTGTTTTGTTTCCCCTGTGATTCAGATCGCCTCAACCTCCCAAGTGTACTGGTGTTGAACAGCTGTGGAATAACCTGTGCTGGAGACGAAAAAGAAATTGCTGCTTTCTGTGCTCATGTGTCGGAACTAGATCTTTCTGACAACAAACTCGAAGACTGGCATGAGGTAAAGTTTCTGTATTGCTGCATTTTGGTGAAATGTAGCAATAACCATTGTATTATTGTTTATGTTAAGTAGTCTGCTGAATTCTGGTTCTCACTTGAGATTCCTGTCGTATGCATGTCTCAAGATAAATAACTGACTGGTTCATTTGTTCCTATGGTGATTTTTCATTTAACTTTGTTATTGCTAATTTGTTTTTCATTAATGTGAAAAGCACTGAGGAACTTTATTCCACGCACCAAGAGCTTAATAAGACTACAGAGGTTTGGACTGCCAATAATGAGTTAAATTTTTATGCTATTTCACCAATTTACACATCCTATGCTTATTCTCTACTACTTCAACATTTATTACTATAACTTGACATAAAACTTGCTTGAGGTTGATACTAAGATTATAAAAATATTCTTGTTACTGAAATTTATTCCAAATATTTATAACTTATCCTTATTTTATTAAGTCTCTTTGGTGGTTTGATATGACTGATGTCTTTTGACCTCAGAGTAACTCTAGACCAAGTACATAAATAAAAGTATTACAACATTCTTTCTTAGTAGTATATGTAACATTACCTATCTGATTATAACATTACCTGATAGAAGCTACCCTTAAGAATAAGGAAAAAATAGTTTTTCCTACTTGATTTGTTCTTCTGCCTTAATTTAGTCTCTTACTTCTTTCTTGGATTATTGGAAAAGCTTGCTAATGGGTTTTCCTGCCTTGGTTTTATTCTGTTTCCTCTAAGCTCTCCTCTACAGTGCTTCGAGACTCCTCTTAATAAATGAAATATAATCATGACACTCTTGTTTGAAATCCTTTAGTTGCTTTTCACTGCCTAGAAGCTAAGGTCTGAAACTGTAAACATGGCCCTCTATCACATGGCCCTTTTGCTGTTTCTAGAGCTTTATCTCCATCTTTAGCCACATACTTTTTTTTGCTGCTCATGATAAACTCTTGACATGAAAAGCTTCCTTGCTTTTTATTCATTTTCAATCTATTGCTCTCTTTCTCTTCTTGTCTACTTACTCGGCCACTTTGTACGTCTCTTTCAAGACGTCCCATTCTGCTGTGAAACTTTCCTTGGCTCTCACTCAGGCAGAGTCAGATGAACCCAGCACCTGTAACATGCTGCTGCGAAAGGATTTATCACAATGTAGTGCAATCAGTTGCTAACTTGACAGTTGTCCTACTAGATAAACCATGAGCTTATTCAAAAGTAGAGGTTTTTGTCTGTTTTGGTCATCAGCTCCCAGCATACTAAGCGCTCAATGTTTGTCGAATACACTAATGAATAAATCAAGACCACTTGCTCCAGCTTTTCCTGTGATCTTAAGAAATTCACTAAACTTTAGTGCTTCATTTTGCTTATCCATCAGATAGGGCTGCTGGTAAAATTAATCATTAAGGCACTTGGTAGATGTTAAATGCTAGACAAATTCTAAAACAGCTTTCTTCTTTAAGAAAAATCTTAAACCTGGTTTTGTTAGCCTAGTTTTCCTATATTTATTGATTTATTTCATTGTCATGTTTAATCTGGTAACTTATGCTCCCAGTTCTATTTCCTGTTTTTATTAAGATGTTTATCAGAATTCTTTGAGATGCATGTCACTTGATTTCTATGTGACATGTTAATATATAAAGATTTGTTGGGCTATTCCAAGAAACAATGTTTATTTGTACATGTATTTATTTATTGATTTACTTATCTGAACAAGTAGTCTAGTTCACTATTCAACAAATTACAGTCTGTGCCTTCTTTGTCTTTTGAGATGTTTAATTGACATGCACACTGTGTCCACACTGCACAGATGATGAAAGAACTACTTTGGTAATCTTCCTTCTCCATGATTCCTTCCCCAGTCCTACTGCTGAACCTCTGCTGAGATTTTTTTTGACCTGCGTGGGTGACAAGTCAGACCCAATTTTCCGCTGAATCATTTCAGCTCCTATGTTCACAGGCTGATTCCTTACATTTGTTTCTTTGGAAGTATAACAAAGGTGTTGTGCTTTGTNCATCCTGTTTAGTCCTTTTTCGTGTTCCTTACCACAAAACCCTATGCACCATTCACGAGTCTTCTTATTATCCTTGGTTGGAAATGATTGCCTCCTCTTCTAAATCTTGTAGTACTTTTAATCTATATTGTAATTACCATGGGTTGAACTGTCTTTTGTCTACATAGTCAACATATGTAGCTTCCTGAAGTCAAAGTCTCACCATAGTATAAATTCTTGGGGGCAGTTGATCATGTCTTATATGTATGCAATGCCTAGCCTAGTGCCTTATAAATAATTGATTCTCAATAAATATCTCTTGTATCTGTAAATAAATAATCTTAATGATTTCTTGCTTTCTTGTAGAATTTTAGGAAAGGAAGATGGATCAACCTAGTGGAAGGAGTTTTATGCAAGTATTATGTGAAAAATATAGTCCTGAAAACTTTCCTTACCGCCGTGGTCCTGGGATGGGCGTCCATGTCCCAGTCACACCTCAGGGCCCTCCTATGAAAGGTAAAAATGATGGGACCAAAAACATTTATTTACTGGAGCTTACTTAGGACATTAAACCAGAATGTTGCTTTTTTTTGCAAATAATTTCCTTTATTTTGAATTATGAGTTAAATAGTCTTTCTCCCTTGCTATGATTTCAGTTTTTTGAAAAACCTAAAAGGACTTGTTTTTCTCCAGAATGACCAAAAGGCATTTTAGGTGTACTTGTAGAGCAAGAACAATACTGAGTGACAATATTTCAAATACATATTCTTTCAGGGAACTCAGAGGGTGCAAGATACTACAAGACTGGACTGTGCCCTCAATGAGCTTACAGCCTAATTGGATTACAAGAGACTCATATTTACAAAGATATAACACAAGGTAGTTTGTGTCGAGCCAAGTGAACAGCACAATAATTGGGGAAGAAGTTTAGAAGAGAGTTAACATGATCAGAAAACAGTTCAAAGCTATGACACATGAACTAACCCTTCAAGAATGTAAAGACAAGCTGGCCGAGTGACTCAGTTGGTTAAGAGCACGAGCTCTGAGCAACAGGGTCACTGGTTCGATTCCCACATGGGCCAGTGACGCTGCGCCCGAGCTGAGCTGCCAACAGGTGGCAGGATGGCTCAGCTGGTGAGAGCACGTGCTCCTAACAACAAGATTGCCGGTT